GTTCGATAACTTCATTCAGTTTGATCTGATTGGAGATATATCTCATTAATGAATCATTGTAAATGCTATATAGTCTTAAACAAACCTACACCATTAAACTTCAAGCTCACTCACACATGATATATTGCGACACTTTCAAGGCTACCTATTATTTCAAGTTCATGTAGGCTTTATACAAACGGCAACAGCGTCAATATTAAATGTAAGTTCATCTCACTTAAATCATTGGTCTGGAAACAATTATTTGCCCATTGTTGTATATTGTATTACATTTTCACTAACGATGAAGCTCCATTGTAATGCAATTTTCAGGTTTCCTAAGTTTATTTCGGAGAAAAGAAGATTGATATTGTAAAGTTGTTCGATAAAATCTCTCAATTTTCTTCGATTGGAAATGTTATATAGTCTCAAACAAACCTACACCATTAAACTTCAAGCTCACTCACACATGATATATTGCAACACTTTCAAGGCTACCTATTATTTCAGGCTCATGTAAATGCAATCGGCAACAGCTACCATATTAAATGTAAGCTCTTCTCACTTAGATCATTGGTCTGGAAGCTGTTATTTTCCTATTGTAATATATTATATTACATTTTCCATAACGATGAATCTTCATTGAAATGCATTTGTCAATTGTTAAATTTGTTATATGATAATAAAGCAAATCGATACGTTAATATCGATAGGATAATGTGAAGTACGTGTCAAATAATAAAATCATTACGTGCTATTATAATAATAATAATAGCATAATAGTCCACTCCAAATTTTATTAAACCGAAACGGAAATTCATTTTGCCCAATTGATCGTGAGCCCGGCAGCCACTGAGCAGCGCCAGATCGACGTTGCTCTATCCCTTATTGTTGAACGCCAAACAAGGTAGCAACAACTCCCATCTTTTTACGTCTTTTGGTATGACGCGGCCGGGGTTCGAACCCACGACCTCCCGGTTGTGAGGCGGACGCTCTACTAACTGAGCCAACACTCCGGTACTATTAACCCGACTGGACATTTATGATTTATAAAATATGTATACACTATTGCCAGCAAGCACATTTTTAAACAAGAATTCAGAAATTGAACAAAATTGCATATTTTAGTCAGGACAGATTAGACGATGCTTTCAAGCATGCCCTACACTCTTAGTTGGACTGTTGTCTTCTAAAGTCTTCCATATAAATATAATTTTGAAGGAGGTCAACAATCATTATGAAGGCACCACTTTCGTAAGGTTGACACATCAAATATGTTGTGCACACATGTCACAATTTGAAAATAATTTTTCTTGGGTGGTGGGGGGGGGGGGGGATCCAGAAAGGGTCCGCTTCACAAATAGAGCATACATAGTCCTTTTTTGTGGATACTTTTTTGAGCAAAACACGAAGTAGGTGGAACCAACGTCCACACAAGTCACATCGCACCCATGGAGGTTTCGTGTCTGTGTCCTTCCCTGGCTTTTCACACGACAACATACCACAACTCACAAACTGCACACTCGTCCAAAGATGCAACAGCATTTGCGATGAGGATGATGTGCACATATATTTCCTCATGTCAGGGCGGGCTTCCCTTTAAAAAAAAAGTAAATGGGGCAACATAATTGTTAAATGGAAATAGAAACAACAACGACGACAACGATTGCAAATCGAAAAACAGAATAGCATGCATATTTTTTTCTTCAAGTTCTATTGTTGTTAATCTCAAAGAAGATCTGGTTCGAGAGACTGGGTAGCTCGGTGGCGCTGAAAAGATGGGAATGCTTAACATTCAAACGAATATTTGCCTGCCAATACAAATGCATACACTCGAGGGCTGTAGATCGTAAAATGAACCCAGTTGCATGAATCGTTTGAATCCATGTATTTAAACAGGGTGGCTGTTTCGATATCGAGTAACTGTACATTCTTTCACGGATGTACATTGTATTCAGTGGGTTTATATTGTGTTGCTTCCGCTCAATAGATATTTTGAAAAACTTTTGTGATTCAGTAAAATATTCCACAGCTCAGAATCGACATCCATTATGTTCTCACTCGAGACACATTTGCGTGACAACCTTAACGACCTTCATATTCTATGACATTCCTCCACATTAGCACAAAAAGAATGAAAAAGCTCATAAATTATTTGCCACCGTTCCCAGAACTCAACCTTTCTATTTTTATAACTGATGAAAGAGGACTATTTAAGGTTGAACCACAATCAATGCCATTTTTTATGATTAAAAAATCATCATATGTGTATGTGAGATATATAGGAAATGATGTGACAAATCTTACATATTGTAAGGCTCTGTATGATGAATTGGAATAATGAACGTTTAAATCGTTGGAAATAGCTCTTTGTAAAGTAATGAAAGAGCTAAATCAGTTATTAAAGATGTTTCGTGTAAAAGAGAAACTGAATACTCTTGAGGCACAACAGTTTGGAGCTGGACTTGATTTTGCCCTTACAATTAGATTAAACTTTTACATTCTAGGCCTTGTTCAGCCATGATGCAAACCATGAAGTTTAAAGATGACTTTAATTATAATACGTTTCTCATTTCTCTTAAAGTTATAACAGCAATTTGCTCAGTAATTACGCACACATGCCATAATTCGCACATCATTATGTTTGTAATTCCATTGCAAATTGCAGCCCATACTCGTTAACTTTATTTTCAGTGATTGCCATGAAAAATGCTCATCAAAGGATAATCTGATAATATTGCAAAAAAGAACTGTTTAGACGGCCAGTTGGCCACCACTCAAAATCTATTATAAGATGGGTAGAAGAATCCTTGCAATCTGATTGGTCAAATACCGTGTAGATTTTTTTTTTAACGAGTGATGCTGTGGTTCATTTCATTAATCTTAATAATCATAAATCATCAATTCTTGCATGAACATTGCTTTAGCTGAAATACATGCACAATTCTACATTAAAGGATTAAGATGATACATAATTATACACGATACATACATGTCATATTTCAATATTATTTTGATTTTCCTCTGCTCCTTCAACAGCTACATGGGTTGGAGGAGGCTACATCAATGGAACTGCAGAAGTTGTCTTTACCCCGGGGTGGGGTCTCGTGTGGGCCCAGGCACCATGGGGCTACAGTATCAGTTTCATCATAAGTAAGTTAAAGGTACTATGTCCCATTTGCAGGCCAAACAAATGTAAAGGTTAAATTTCAACGGCATTTAAAAGATGATACTTATTTTCCTCAAACTCGGAAAGGGCTTGAAAATGGCTTTTAGTGGGAAAATAACGACCATTAGTTGTCGAATCGACTTAAGTGATTGCAATTACCTAAATAATAGTCTGAATTTAAGACCCTTGTGACTCAGACCGACATGACTACGACTGCTTCTTTAACACTAACAATGCCTAGGGGCTTTGCTTGTTTCAAGATTGATTTTACCACAACACAAACGGAAACATTATATCCCCAAACTATGTCTACAAAAATGTAGGAAATTTATTACCCCATCTACATGATGCTAATTATCTTAATATATTCGAATGTCAATGAGTTTCTTTAACGTCTTTTACGTTTCCGTTCCTCACTTTTTTGTACCATTGATAATCGCTAAAGATTGAAAAGATGATGTAGGCCAACAAGATTTTCTTTGAAACAGTCTATACAATGCAGCACATAACAATACGAGAAAGAAACTCGTATTATTTTTTGGTCAAAGTTATTGATGTAGCAAAACTCCATCACCTTTCTATAGATGATTAATGATTGTCATGAGGAAGAAAGTAGGAATATTACAAAATTAGATTCATTTCAACTTTTCAATATCCATTAATATGAACTGCCATGGGAAAGAAATCATTATTCAATCATTATTCAATCGAATAATTTCATGAGCGTGTACTGGGAGTGTTTAATAAAAGTTAGAAAACTGAGCCTTGGACCTGTTAACCGAAAGACGGCAATGATAATTTCTTTTCAGTATCTCTCGTTTAGAATGTTTCTTTCTTAGAATTCCAAAAGGGTTCGAAAAGGAATGGAAGGGTCCTCGCCGTTAATACGGTAATACCAAAAAAACGTAAACATGGGGTATGATTTTCAGTTTGAAAATCCCTAAAAATGGCCTTTTTATTTAAGACTTTGGCCTTAAACTAGTTTACAATTGTTTTTCATCAGAATAATACCTAATCCATATTATTGCAACAGTGTAAATTCCAGATTCAAAATAATTGAAATAATGTTGCTTTTGTTGTCGAAGATATCTCTTAACTAGAGATATAGTTTGTACGGTGTTTCTTTCTATTGTTCTCAATATTTATTTCCTGTATATCATTCATTTCCTCTTTGTATTGTATTTCTTGGTACCACCAACCCACTACTACTCACCCCACGCATAGATTTGCATGTAATATCTATATATGTTTTTGTAAATGTATGTGTTATTGTTTAATTTAAAAAAAAACTATTGTATTTTTATATTGTAATTTTAAGCAGGGGATGATCCCCGATAAACATCTGTGGTTTTTGATCACCCCCTCTGCAGGTTCATCTTTTGTTGTAATACTTTTATATTAGATTGTAATTTACATTGTCTTTTATGAATCTGTGGAAATAAATGAAATTGAAAAATTGAAATTGAAATTGAAATTGAAAGTCCTATAATGGTCATTAAAATGAACCTAAAAATAGGTATAGGTTTCAACGCTTCAGCTGCACACCCCGACCTAACAACCCCCCCCCCTACCGTCCGGGGGTCGAAACACGGTGTTATTTGGTTTGGTCCTATACTTTCCGTATATAAGATCAAGAATAACATGGCTTGCTGGATCTATTTATGCTCGGATCCAATCGGAAGTCCAGTAATTTGACATTCATGGTCGTTGACGAGGGAAATGATCAATGGTGATCAAACGTTAATCTTTTAAAAGGGAAAGCAGAAGTTCAACACAAACATCAAACCAACACAAACATCAAACCAAGACAAACAATTACTTTCGAGTTATATCCGTTTTCTTTGCCGCAGATGGCCTTTTCTTTGCCAAACAGATGAGAGCAGCGAATTACGTCACAATGATCGACCCTTTTCAGATCAAGTATGGCAACCGCATGGGTGGAATCCTCTTTCTAGCAGCACTAATGGGAGAACTGCTTTGGTGCTCCGCCATTTTAGCTGCTTTAGGTAAAAAAAGAAGTAAATTTGTGATATCCAAAGATCTTCCCCTGAATACGATCGGAAAAAGTCCATCAAAAATTGAAAGATGCAAACATTACCATGACGTATTTGATAACCTGGGGTATGGTTGATTTCTCGAAAAATCTTTGCAAACTTATTCAGGAGAACACCTTAAGATATCATAAGAAGCATTTACCTTCTCCATGACTAATTTCTGATATTCTAGTCGAATTTGAAATTCAAACCCTGGACCCAACAATGTACCTAACCCTTATCATATCCCCAACCATAAATAATATAAACCTATTGTGGGAAGTCTGAACCACATCGGTTTTGCGACATTGGTTTTGCATAAATTGTTAGATCACCGCCGTTAATTGGACGTGCATGGTTTAATTTTCCTTTGGACTAAAAGGTATCCTTGTTATGTTCAATAGAAAATTTCTGACATTTTTTTAAATAAAATCTTTAGATTCATTTAAAGCTCTATTAGACTGGAGGACACTTTTCATTGTAAATACCCAAACTAAATTTGTTTGGTTGTTTTGATATAGGCCTAGACCAAATCCAATATTTAAATTAATATTAGCGCTATTTGACAAAACTACAGCCTAAAACCAACTAGTTATGGTGTTTCCTATAAAAAGCTCCTTCATATCTTTATTTCCGGTTTTTACTTTAAGTCCTTAATTTGCAAGTAACTACAAGCTAACCAATGTTATTTCATATATTGTATATACTTATACTTTTTCCAAAATAAGTCCATCGTATGTATGATTATAGTCCTTATAAACAACACTTGTAAACAACACTGACGATGTATATGAACATTTGAAATTGAACAGTAGAATCGAACCGAACCGTTTAGTAATATAGTTAAAATAAGAAGAACAATTATTTATCGGGAAAAGTGTGACCGGGGCCCCGTCTTACAAAGAGTTGAGATCAATCGCAACTATGCACAGATAAAAGACTGAAATAAAAGACTGAAGACTTGCGATTGATTTGGATCAATCGTAAGTCTTCGTAAGACGGGGCCCATGGGAGTGGTTCACAAAGACTAAGATCGACTTTAAGTTGGACTTAACTATGGCAGGCCGTTCATGCCACTGTTTTCTCTCACCATTGGTCTCTCGATTATAATCTTGAGATAATATTTTCCTTCAATAATGAACTATCAACAAATGTAAATTCTGCAGACTTGTGAGCACGATGTATACATTCCTTGATTAACCAATGCCAGGAATGGTTAGAGGAACTAGTGGCATGAATGGTCTGTCATAGTGAAGTCCAACTTAAAAGTAGGACAGTGTACCTTTAAAGTAAATCTTAGTCTTTGTGAAACATCCCCAGGGCTATTTACACATTATTGTGACTTGTTCTTTCTCAGGATCAACAATCAGTGTTATCCTTGAGCTAGATCAGAATATATCTGTCATCATCTCGGCCTGCATCGCCGCGTCTTACACGCTGTTTGGTGGTCTCTACTCCGTGGCCTACACAGACATTGTTCAACTCACCTGTATATTCGCCGGCTTGGTAGGCATCAAACTGCTTGTTTTGAACTTACGAATAATGCGAGACAGGGACTTGACTCGGGTCAGACTCCACCACGTAAGCCTCTTTTTACCCCCAAACACGAATCGAATTGGAATTGGACCCCTTACATAATTTAAACAACTCGGGACTCAAATCCGTGCTTGCCAGATTTCAAAGTGGACTCGAACCTGTGCTTACTCGTTTCGACTCGGCACACGAATCCCTAGCTCATTTAACTCGGATATGCCTTGATACACTGCAGAATCGACCCTGAAAGTTTGGGACTCGAGTCCTTGCTGATTCTTCTCAATTTAGGTCTCGTTGCCCTGGTGACTTATCCCATCTCGACTCAGGACTCGGAATTTTACCGACCCAACTCATCTCTAAAGGCCCTGCTGACTCAAAATAGGAATTAAAGTCGCAGCCTGTCGCAGCCCGCTTGACTCGACTCGACTCGAGACTAAACGCCCTGCCGACTCGCCTTGACTCAATTTGACTCGATACCCGAAGCCCACTCGACTCGAATATGAGTTCGAAGCCCTGCTGACTTGAGTCAACTTGGGACCGAAATCCTTGCTGACTCAAGTCATCTCGTCCGCACCACCTTAAGATTTGATCCGAAACAGCACGATTTGGGACCCGAAGCCTACTCGAATTGACTCGACTATTCGAAATCCTGCTGACTCGTCTCGACTTACCATCCGTCTCCCTCTGACTGGAACACAATGTTGACTCACGCGAGACAAGACTTGGGTTAATGCCAGATGAATACAAGTATCTGTTTCATTGACTTAATGCAATTGAGAGTGCTATTTTCAAGTATTTGTGAAGATATACATTATTTACATTGACGTTTCATTCATGTTTTTGTTTACTGTAGTGGATTTGTCTACCGTTTGCGCTCGCCAATGATGCTGTTACTCCAATATTGGAGACTACGGATCGCTGGCTAGGCGAATGGGACACTAAACTGACTGGACAATGGATTGATAATACCTTACTACTAGTAAGTACATATATATTATTTTGAACCGGTATGCTATGGTTATAAGTATCACGTGGTTACCTCTACAATAAAACGTAATTATTGAAAAGTCTTCGCCATCTGAGCATTTTAAATCATTTGCCATCTGAGGATTTTACAGTGTACCCGTTGACTACTGCATTCTGAATGTCCCATATGCTTAATACAGCGACCACCAGGTTCCCGTAGGCAATGGATTAACATCCACAATTATGTATAAAATCATTCATACACCCATTCTTGTAATTTTCGCTAACAAGACAGATTCTAAACTTATTATTCAAACAAAATTTATAACATTTCACCGTGATTACTTCATATACATAGAACAAGTTGAACATCATCCCACTCATAGGCGCCGGAAGTGGGGGGGGGGGGCAGTTGCCCCCAGTCAAAAAGTGGGGGGGGGAGGCAAAACGCATTTTTGCCCCCCCCCCCCCCCCCAAAAAAAACAAAACAAAACAAAACAAAAAAAACAAAAAAAACAAAAAAAAACAGTAAAGGAGTAAAGATGGTTTGTATTTTTAACCCAAAAGAACATAACAATAATAAAAACCTGAATTAAATGACGTATACAATTCTATTCAAAGAAAATGAAAGCTAACAGGAATTAAATTTCCCAAAAATTGCTTCCTATAATTATCAATGGAGGTTATTATTATAATAGCGCGCGCATATCGTGGACATATTGTGAGAGAATGGGAAAGCGTGTCTGTTTTTTGTTTTCGGGGTGAGAAGCCTATGAGCCCCTGAACGCTGGCGTACTGATGGGGGGGGGGGGGTTAATTTTTATTCGATACCAGTGGTTTACAGATGTTGCTGAAATGACATGATTTTCCGGTATTTTTTCTCAATTTTTTGTAAGAAGTCATACCTTTTTATGCGTTTGTTGGAAATTAGAAATTCCCAAATTTACAGTCGGGCGAAAAATATGCTGATTTATAAACCTGTATTTCAGCCCCCCCTCACTTTTTGAAAAAGTGTTTTAAAGAGAAAAAGAAAGAAAGAGAGAGAGAAAAAATAAGTGACCTGCCACAATGTCACAAAATATGCTCATCTGACCGTAATTAAGTACCTAAAACTCCCGACCTTGCGGGGGCTCCGCCCCCGGACCCCCCCCCAAGAACTCTTTAGGCGGTCCCCTGTATGCTCATCTGACCGTTATTAAATACCTAAAAACCCCGAGCTTCCGGGGACTCTGCCCCCTGGACCCCACCAAGGGCCCTCTAAGGCGGTCCCCTGTATGCTCATCTGACCGTTATTAATTACCTAAAAAAACCTGAGCTTCCGGGGGCTCTGCCCCCTGGACCCCACCAAGGGCCGTAAGGCGGGGCCCTGTATGCTCATCTGACCGTTATTAATTACCTAAAAAACCCTGAGCTTCCGGGGGCTCTGCCCCCTGGACCCCACCAAGGGCCCGCTTAGGCGGTCCCCTGTATGCTCATCTGACCGTTATTAAATACCTAAAAAAAAACGAGCTTCCGGGGGCTCTGTTCCCTGGAATCTCCGCCAATTGGTGGTGAATTTGATGCAGATTTTTCTTCTGCCCCCACCCCCCCCCTTCCAAACGTATTTGCTCGTTACGTCACTGCCCCTGGAAGGTGAGCCCCCAAGAATGTTTGCCCCCCAATCCCAAACTGCTTCCGGCGCGCCTGATCCCACTGCATTAGAAAACTTGTTTCGTCTCTTTCAAATAAGCCCTTAACATATTTGCCTTCTCTCGTTGATATAATGTAATGAACTTGTTTTATGGATCTAAGCTTTATGTATCATAACTATTATCATCTAATCATTATCATTATTATTATTTACTTGTTTTGAGATCTTAGGAGGAGTACCCTGGCAGGCGTATTACCAACGAGCTCTCTCGGTCAAGTCACCCGACCACGCGCGCTACATCTCTATAGTTGCAGCTTTCGGATGCGTAATTGTCAGCATCCCAGCATACATCTTGGGTGCCGTGGGCGCCAGTACAAGTGAGTGTCCCAATAGCACATGCGAAAATTGAGGGGGTGGTATGCACGCCGAAAATCTTTTTAGGGAGGGAATGGCCTATACAAATATACCCCCAGTCCCCTACCCCTTCATTTTTAAGGAAAAGCAATCAGATTTTGTTTTAAATACAAAACTAATCACTTTTAGGCTCAAATAGAGACCTTTTTCTTCTTCTCTAAAATGCTTCTAAAATATTGGGAATGTTGGAAATTATCACCTTGTACTAAAAGTCACACACTTTCTCTGTCTCTCTCTCTCTCTCTCTCTTTTACTCGAACTGTAGATCTTGCTCTATATCCTTTACAATTGATGCTATTTTTCTTTTAGACTGGACGTTGACAGACATTAATCTGAATAAAACAGACCCATATGAGACACCCGGGATCATCCTCCCCGCTGTCATTCAGTTCCTTACTCCGCCTTTTGTTGCTTTCCTCGGCCTGGGGGCCATCTCAGCAGCAGTAATGTCATCCACCGACTCGTCCATTCTCGCCTCGAGCTCGATGTTCGTGAGGAACATCTACAAGAACATCTTCCGAACGTCAGTAAGTTTCTCCTGAATGGAACAGCGTGTTGCCGACGATGCGTAATCTGCCTGAACTATAGGACTGCGCCAGGCCCAGCGATCGGGTTCATCTGGGTTCATGCACGTTTAACACGATGTGTCATTTTGTCTCACCCACCTCTGCGTCAGCAATCGTGTTCAACTGGCGTAATGCAGATGCACACGGGTGTCATTTCGCCTGACGTACAGTACTTCTGCGTCAGCGATCGTGTATAAGTGGCTTAATGCCAGGTGCACACGAGGCGTTTAATTGTTTTTACCTACGCTAATCCATTCAGTACATTTCATTAATGTTAAAATAAAGATAATCAAGAATTCGAGGCAATATCGTCGAATTGCATTAAATAATTCAAAAGTGTTACAAAAGCAAACAAAAATTCAAAATGTGAAAACAAGCCTAATAAAGCAATTAGTACAAACGCCAGTAGTACAATACAATTTTTTTTTTTTAATTTCCAATCGCATTTTCTTTTCTCACTACATTCATTTGCGTAGCATCGCGTCACCGAATGACCTGTCTAATGACATGCACGCATACCTTGCTTTTACATGATTGGTTAGCGCACGTAATAAAGCTGCCAAAATGTACTTCGTGTGCGACAGGCATTGAAGCTATTAGTCTTGCGTTGTGATACTTTTATCATAATCACTTAGCATTTTGAAATGTTAAAAAACTATTAAGAGAACGGGGAATGTTTGTATTTATTCTTAAAATCATCTCATTGTGTTCCTTAAAGCTCGTTGCACACAGATGGTATATGCCTGACGTAAAACTAAGTCTTTGACTGGCGTGGCCTATGACATACCACAAACATATTTAGCAAAATGACGGAAACAAGCATTACGTTGTAATAATAGCGTATGGGCCAATTCCCTAAATAGGCTCAATTACCACAGTTTGAAACGCACCCACGAATGTAAGGACCTTATTCTCCTGTTATTTTTTCACAGAAATAACAATATTCGAAAGGATTTATTTTCTAAATCCTTGTTATTTTTTGTTATCCTTCTGTTCTTCTAGGCGTCTGAGAGAGAGATGAGCTGGATACTCCGGCTTGCGGTGATTGCTGTTGCCGCCATAGCTACCGTCATGGCGTTGACTGTCGACTCCATATACGTCCTCTTCGTTCTTTGTGCAGATTTCGTCTACGTCGTGCTCTTTCCGCAGTTAGTCTGCGTTATCCACGTCGAGAAGTCCAACACCTACGGCTCAGCCGTAGCGTTCGTCCTCGGGCTTGCGCTCCGACTGACAGGCGGCGAGCCCGCCCTCAAGCTTCCAGTCTTATTACGTTACCCGTACTACGACGAGGAGCTCGGTCAGTTGTTTCCTTTCCGCACCCTGGCTACCATCGTGGCTTTCGTGTCGCTTGTCGTTATCTCGTTCATCACCGACATCGTCTTTAAGAAGGGTTATCTTCCTAAGAAATACGACGTCTTCAAGTGCGTGGTTAATACTGATGTCAAGCCGAGTATGGAGGTCATGGTCAAAAGCATATCCGGTGACATGGAAGACAAGTCTGTAGAAAATATCGCTATGACCGACTTCTAGGGGTGGACAGGTCAAACTCACGATGCAAGATTCAACATTCACTCACTATTTACATATATTAAAAAAGACGATAGCAACTTCTGTCGAAAAAATGAAAATAGGGTTATATCAGCAGCCTTGTGTGTTTCCCATTGAATTGTGTGAAGGTGACAATGGCCCATTACGTAATCTGAACATAATTACAATGGGGTGTACAGTTGATTTTTCGAAAATAATTATGATCTTGCATTACAAAAAAGTGCAGAATAAGTTCAAACTGCTTTTAAAAAAAGGGAACGCAGAAGGTGACCACTAATCAGTCACACTGTTTTTATTTACATAGTATGAACTTTACTCTTAACAAAAATATTTGACCCCTCCCCCTTTTCTTTCCTTTCTGTTACTGTCCCTGTATTTTCATCAGAGTTTTTATCATTATTATCAGTATCGTTATATCATGTCAGGCCAGTGTAAACACAAGGAACGCAAACGAGTGGGGATCAAGACTAAACATATCCAGGGGATCGTGACGACTTGCATCAATGGTTGTAAGAATTAGACTAGTATTTCTTGCATTAACAACACGGTAGCGAATTTTCGCAACCGGCGACGCGGCCTTCAACAACGCTAATCTTAGCGAAAATTACCGCGTAGCGTCCAAACCTACAACGGTATTCAGCTGTATTAGCGTCGGGAGTCGAGCTAGTGCAAGGTGGCGAGCTCATTTAAATATCCAGTAGTCAGCACTTGCGTCGCCGTGCGAAAACTCGCTAATAAAGTGTGGAAGAGGACCCGGATTGCAGAGAACATGGATAGAGAGAAGAATGTGAAAGGGCGATGGAAGACCACAGAGACAGAGCAAGATTAGTTAGTATAACAGGGTGGTGTTTCACAAAGATCCTAAGTTGAACTTATCTCTAAGTCGGACTTAACAAGTATAGAATGCCGTTAGCATCTTTGAAAATAGTTTGTAAAAGTTATTTTAGAAGGCATAAAATGAAGATTCAAGTCATTCATATTTTCTATTATCATGGCCATGGGAGATTCCATGTTCTTGATGTAGAATTTATGAAAAGTCTTAAATACTTGACTGAATTTCTGTTTTTTAATATATTTCATTATAAGGCTACAAATAGCTCTCCATAATATTTAAGTCCATCTTATAGTTAAGTTCGACTTAGAATCTTTGTGAACCCCCCCCCCCCCCCACCCCGAAGACCAACAAACAGGTACGTAGTTATTGAGGCGTTTTCCAGGCTAAGTATCTTGTGTGACAATGCAAAACAAGAAACAGAAAACTGTACGCAGACAAATGCACGTCTTCCACTTCCACGCTTTTAATCACCAAAATCGCTTGCACTCTCTTTACTTCCCTCAACATGTCACAATTGAGCAGTTAGCTAAAAACCTTACTCTTCTAAAATTGTTATGAATCTGTCAGTTGTGAATACAGTTAAATTAGAGTTGTGTTATCACTAAAGTTTTAACCCAGTGCCAGACCCGGATGCATGGTCCCTGTATTAAGCCTATATGAATGAGGTCCATCAGTAGCCAAATGGTTTAGAAATAATGATTGTCAAGATTTTGGCAATAGTAGCAAGTGCTGAAAATTGCTGAATTTAACCAAAAAACAGTAAAATGCCTTTCATTAGCCTCGTGATTTGTCTTAAAGGTACTATGTCCCATTTGCAGGCCAAAAAAATGAAAAGGTTAAATTCCAACGGCATTTGAAAGACAATACTAATTTAGGTCATCGCTAAAAATAGGTGGGCTTGAAAATGTCTTTAAGTGGGAAAATAACGACTATTAGTTGTCGAAGCGACTTAAGAACTATAGAGCCAGTAAGTAATAGTCTGATTTTTCAGACCCTTGTACCGAACGGTCGTACGTTTTATGCTGCGCAACGATTCAATCAGTTTAATTTTGGCCATTACAAGAAGTGGGTTACTGATGTAGACAAATGCTCATGTACCCTTTGCGGCTCATTTTGTATGTTATTACCAAAGATGAAAAAAGCCAGTCAGTCACTCAATAGTGTCTGATAGTGAAGTCTAGCAAGTAAATGGGTTTCCTTGCATAACTTGAATATTAGGACATTGCTAACGTTTAAATTTCACAGATAGGACATACATGACATATTCATAATTCCTGCAAAGTTCTACGGAATTTGATGTTGGCTGCAAAAGGGACATAGTATCTTTAAATAATACTTTCACTGAGTACTATTTTCATCAGAAACCGCTAAATATTCAATGGCGCTTGGGTTTTCTTGTTTTTCTTAAATCTGTAAATCTCATTGCCCAATGTATAATAGATTTCTACATTATATAGATTTACATGCACAATATCTATTTCATCGGATTGCGTGTTGAATCTTGTATGTTGAAATATTGTGTTGTAATTTGTTTTAGTTTATATTGCTTGTACATGGCGACCAAAAAAGGGGTCCTATAGCTTTACAAGCTCTGCTTCTTTTACAGGTTCCTCCACTCTTTTTTAAATTATGATGTAATTAATAAGAAGGATTATATGTTCTACAATTCTTTTATAAAGGTGCAACTATAGGCCTATATTTTGTTCACTAAGTTAATATGTACAACATTTAAAAATTGAAACATTATTATTGTACCAATGTTGTGGTAATGCACTGCTTTGTTTTGTTTATTTGCTATAATTATAAATGTACGGTATAATTATGTAATTGATCAGATGCTAGGATTTATGTAGCTTATAAAAGCTATTGTAACTAGTTGATATCAAGTTTTGTGAAACAGAGGCACGATTGGTTTTTGCCGGGGTGTTTTTTTTTTTAATGGATCTGTCCCTGTCGGCTGTGTGTGGTTGCAGGTTTATATGGGAATAAGCAAGATTAATTGTTTGATCAACAACATAATACAAGAATATTTTTGTTTTATACCATTTTGAATAAAACTGCGATGTGGTGGAAGAGCTATGCATATTTTGGCTTTAAGTTAATATGAGTGCTTTTATTTTGGGGATTCATTTATTTTAACTATAATCGGAGACTTAAAACACTACATTAATATACAATTTTAAAAGAATGTTGTGTATACATTTATTGATTTTCAAATTTGGTAATGATCGGAAACCATGTGCAGATTACAATGAATACAAACGAAACATGAACAGAGAGAGAGGGAGGGGGGATAGAGAGATATAGAGAGGGAGAGAGAGAGAGAAAGAGAGAGAATGAAAGAGAAGCCGAATTGGAGAGGTACAGAGGGATAGAGAGAGAGAGAGAGAGAGTCATGGCGTTCTGCGTAGTGGGTGTATAAATCATGCTTGTTAAATGTATGGACGCGCATACATTATTACGTCACAGACAGAATGCGCTAGACTACGCCTTGCGTGTACGGTGATAACCCGGTTGACTAAACCCCCTGAACTTTTTTTTTTGGGGGGGGGGGGGTGCCCTCTACACCCCATCAAGAACACTAAGATGTAGTATTAGCGTAAACAAAGTTTCAATGGATGCACCAAGTGTGAACTTATCACGGGTGCATGCGATTTGCATATACCGACTCGCGATAGATAAACTACCTCTCGCGGCCATCGTTCACACTGCAACCAAAGATGACAGAGCGCGTGCGGTCTATCATCTCTGCTTTAAATAGGCGGCGGGCGTAGGCAAATGGGCAATGATAACCCCTGTTTTTTCCCCGTTCTGGCCATGAGGGCTAGAAAAATATACCTAAACATGTATACCGCGCGTACAGTTTTGAACCATTTGAAAAAAGTACCCTTTTTCTTGAAAAGCCCCAAAATAAGAAAAAAAAAACATATCTGTATACGCGTTTTCTTGGTCATATCAGGCATGCTTACATTATTTGTATTTGACTGAGACCCCCGTGTGTACGAATCCGGATTCAAGGCGGGGGCCGCCACAATACTTTACTTCATTATTTCTTTATTATTTCGTCAATATAATGATCTATACGCTGGTTTTATCTATATTTAGCATACTGAGGGCCAGGCGCGCCGGAAGCAGTTTTGGATGGGGGGGGGGGGGGGGCAAACATTGCAGGGGGCTCACCTTCCAGGGACAGTGACGGAATGGGCAAAAAAGTTTGGAAGGGGGGGGCAGAAGAAAAATCTGCATCACCACCACTCTTACACGTTACATGCAGTCCCCGCGGAACGTTTTTCAAAGTGGAAAAACGATCAGGTAGAGCGTAAATTGGCGTGGGGTCCAGGGCCTGAGCCTCGGTAGGGGGTCAAGGGGCTGAGCCCCCGGAACTCATAGGGTTCCTAGGCATTAAATTACGGTCAGATAAGCATCCAGGGGCCCGTCTTAGGGCCATTGATATGTCCACGATATGCGCGTATCGCTATTATAAAAACCTGCATTGATAAATATAGGTGGCATGCGCAATGTTTAGGAAATTTAATTCCTGTTAATTTTCCTTTTCTTTGAATGGAATTTTTAATGTGATTTAATTCAGGTTTTATTGTTGTTATGTTCTTTTGGGTTAAAATACTAACCATCTTTACTCTTTTACTACTTTTTTTTTTTTGGAGGTGGGGGGGGGGGGGGGCGTTTTTTTTGTTGGGGGGGGGGCGGCAAAAATGCGTTTTTCAGACTTACCATTGTAATTACTATTATTATTATTATTATTATTATCGTTATTATTATTATTAATATTATTAGTATTGTTATTATAATATTATTATTAGTGTTATCATTATATCATTATTACTATTATTATTATCATTATTATCGTTAATCTCATTAATATTATTATTATTATCGTTATTATTATCATCATTATTATTATCATTATTCCTCTTATTGTTATTATTATTATAATTCTCATTATTACAAATTATAAAATGGGTTCATCAATGTAGTCAATTAGAAGCGTCGAAGTGGCTCACGGTTGCGCGCATTTTGGTGATAACAACCTAGCTTGAAACGTCAACTTGGTCAAAATGAGACGGACAATGAACTCGACAAGCCTCGTTCATTATTCTACAGTGAGTTCATCATCGTGCAGTGCATATTCACTAATACACTCGCAAACACGTATAATTTGTTTCCAAAACATACGCCACGCGGGGATTCTAAACATACGGCATAACCTATCTATAACGCTTCAACAACACAAAAAGGATTATGTACACGAGTCAGTGGCGTAATGAGCAAAAACCTTTGGGGGTCAGAACAAAATCCATACCACCACCAAAGTAGCATCATGCAGGG